ATTTCAGTGAGCCCAGACTCTTGCATCTTCCCTTATGTAGGAAAGTACTAAAATCATTAACTCGAGATTTTTGCGTGTGTGATTAGCAGTAATCTTTTAATGTTTAACCACATTTTTTTTCCCAGCAAAAGTTCCTATGTATCCTAGCTCCTCCCTTACCTCTTTGGAACAGTTTCCCAGAGCTACCTGAGGGGCAAATTCCCAGGCTATAATTCTCAGCAAGTTTCTCAAATGAAACACAACTCCCACTTTTAGGTGGTTTTTTTTCAGTGGACAACTTCCAAGTAGCTCGAGCTGGAAGACTCACGGGACCTGTGGTAGGCAGCACGATGGCCCCCAAAGAGGTCCACAACCTAAGTCCCCAGAACCTGCGAATAGGGTGCCTTACACGGCAAAAGGGACTTCGTAGATGTGATTAAATTAAGGATCTTGAGATGGGAGGTAATGTAACCCAGCTGCCTGGCCCAATGCCTCCAATTTAGCAAACTCCTGGGAAAAGCTCTTATTGCAGGTGAAATGCAAACTCTGTATAACAACCAATAAGCCACTCCATCTACAGGTTTGACTCTTGTTCCCTCACAGCTTTCTCCCCGGGTGGTTTATCTCCCCAGGGCGTGGGAGGGCACGCACTTGACCTCTCAAACATTGAACCCAGGATTGGCAGCCGAGAGGATTTGGAGGGTTCAGTTCATCAAGAACCACACCTGTGGGGCAGGATGAAGGTTTCTCCCAGGCGGGGAGATGGCCTGCCTGCCTTCAGACTCAGCCCTGGGACCTGGGGGTGGGAGAGAGGGAGGGAGGGAGGTGGGGTGGGATGGCCTTGAGCTGCCTTTTGGGGGATTTCTGCCCTGGGAGGAAGAATATTTGAGATAAAAGCTGGGAGGAACAAGGGCCAAGGGCTTTTGTGACAAGGCCTCTCTTTGCCCAGACTTTAGTTTCTTCTCAACGAGGCACTGACTTTTGGGTTTCCATGCTTGTCTCTGCATTGTCCCATTTTACTTTGTTTTCCTAATTTATTTTTATTGAGGTAATGTTGGTTTATAACAATGTATAAGTTTAATAAGTACAATGTTATATTTCTACTTCTGTATACCCTACAGCATGCTGACCACCAAAAGTTTAGTTTCCATCCGTCACCATTAAGGTGACCCCCTTTACCCTTTTTGCCCTCCCTACCCCAGCCCCAGCCCTTCCCCCTCTGGTAACCACAACTCTGTTCTCTGTACCTATGTATTTGGTTTGGTTTGATTTGTTTCGTTCATTAAAAAAATAAAATCCCATTTATAATCACAACAACAAAAAAAAATACCTAAGAATAAATTTAACCAAGGAGGTGAAGGACATGTACTCGGAAAACTGTGACACTGTTGAAAGAAACTGAAGACACAAATAAATGGAAAGATCTCCCGTGCTCATGGATTGGAAGAATTACCATTGTTAATGTCCGTGTTACTTAAAGCAATCTACAGATTCAATGTAGCAATCTACAGATTCAAAATCTCAACGATATTTTTCACAGAAATAGAACAAAAAATTCTAAAAGTTCTATGGAGCCCCAGAAGACTGCCAACGGCCAAAATAATCCTGAGAAAAAAGAATAAAGCTAGAGGTATCACACGCGCTGATTTCAAACTATATCACCAAACTATAGTAATCACAACAGTATGGTATTGGCAGCAAAAACAGACATACATGGACAATTAATTTATGACATAGGAGCAAAGAACATCTTCTTCAATAAATGTTCTTGGGAAAACACAGTCACATGCAAAAAAAAAAAAAAAAGAAAGAAAGAAAGAAACTAGATCACTATGTCACACCATATACAGAAATCAGCTCAAAGTGGATTAAAGGCTTGAATGTAAGACCTGAACCCATAAAACCCCTAAAACAAAACAGGCAGTATGCTCTTTGGCATCTGTCTTAGCAATATCCTTCTAGACATGTATCCTCAGGCAAGGGAAACAAAAGCAAAAATAAACAAATGAGACTACATCAAGCTACAAATCTTCTGCACAGCAGAAGAAACCACCTTTTCATAAAATGAAAACATAGCCTTCCAAATGGGAGAAGATATTTGCAAATCGTGTATCCAATAAGGGGTTAATATCCAAAATACGTAAAGAAGTCATGCAACTCAACAACAAAAAACAACCCAATTTAAAGATGGGCAGAGTACCTGAATAGACATTTTTCCAAAGAAGATATATAGATGCCAACAGGCACATGAGAAAAGGATCAACATCACTGATTATTAGAGAAATGCAAAAGGCAAGAAAGGGAGGTGGATAGAGCCCAGTGGTAAAGTGTGTGCTTAGCATGCATGAGGTCCTGGGTTCAATGCCCAGTACCGCCATAAAAAAAAAAAAAACTGACACAGAATGAAGAATTTAAATGGAAAAACAGCAACTTGGTGGGTGGTATAGCTTAGTGATAGAACACGTGCTTAGCACGCACAAGGTTCTGGGTTCAACCCCCAGTATCTTCTTTTAAATAAAGACAAGAAATAACAAGTGTCTGTGAAGATGTAGAGAAAAGTGAACCCCCATACACTATTGGTAGGAATGTAAATTGGTACAGTCACTGTGGAAAACAGTATGGAGATTCCTCAAAAAATCAAGAATAGAACTACCATGTAATCTAGCAATCCCACTTCTGGGTATTTATTCAAAGAATACAAAAACACTAATTCAAAAAGATATATGCACCTCTATGTTCATCACAGCATTATGTACAACAGCCAAGATATGGAGCTATGGGGATGTGTGTGTGTGTGTGTGTATAGAATATGTATATATATAATGAAATATATATATGGATATGTGTGTATATATATATATATATATATATATATATTATATATATATATATGTGTATATATATATATATATATATATATATATATATAAAAATGGAATACTACTCAGGCATAAAAAAGATAGAATCTTATCATTTGTGACAACATAGATGGCTCTTGAGGGTATTATGCTCCATGAAATAAATCAAACAGGAAAAGACAAATACCATACAATTTCATTCATATATGGAATATTTTTTAAAAAAACCAACAGGCAGAATAAATGAACAAACCAAACCAAGCAACAACAAACACATAGATGCATTTTCTAATTTTAGCAAGAATCCCACTAAGTCAGTTTAGCCAGAATCCTCCATCCTCCACACTGATCACCCTCGATACCTGATCAGGTTCTTCATCCTTCACTGACCCCAAGTGATGTCTGATCACCCTGGCCTGCCTTCAGTAGGAATCCTGTTAGGTTGGTTTAGTCAGACCTACACTAACCCTTACCCTTACGTTTCTCCCTAGTAATTTTCCATCCACTGACCCTCACCCTGCTCCTTGGATATAAATTCCCACTTTTCTCTGTTATACTCAGCTTCAAGCTCAATCTCTTTTCCCAGCTGAGGGTCCACAGGGCCAGCGAGGCTCACTGTGAGGCTGAGCGGGCTAGAGGTGCTGTAACCAAGCTGGAGCCTTCCAGGTGTAGCGCTGAAAGTCCCATGTTCTGAGAAACCCTCAGCCCAAGCCAAACTAAGATGGTCGGTCACCCCAGGCCAGAGCCAGGTTTCTGGGCGTATGACCTGTGCATTTGCAGAGCCTACACTTAGAGGGTCTCACTTAGACGGGTCTTGTCCTTGGTTTAATGTTCTGCTGTCGCTGTCTTGAAATCTTCAATATTTTTCAGCAACAGGTCATACACTTCCATATGGCATTAGGTCCTGCAAATCATGAAGCTGGCCCTGCCCTAGACCAGGATCCCTGTGGGGATCACACACTGCAGTGCCAGCATCTGAGGCTTCTGTGGACCACAATCCTGAAAGGCAAGGGACAACACGCCTTCCTTTCTGGTCCTCGACATCACCTCGTCCATGGCAGCGTTAATTAATAGCAGCTGAACTGAGCCCAAACTTCCTTAAACACACCTCCTGGCATGCTTGTCAGAGGGAGAGCCCAGGGTGGAAGGCACTGCAGAGTCCACGGAGCTGGGCATCCATTCTGCACTTATAAAAATCAATAAAGGAAAAAAAAGTCAATGAAAGGAAACTGACACTTGTCACAAGGCTGCTACTCAACACACTGCTAGCCACCCCCATGTCATCTTCACAAGTAGCCATGAGGTAAGTATGCCTCCACCTATCTTCCAGAAAAAGAAACTTGGGCTCAGAGAGGCTAAGAAACTTGCACAAGGTCACACAGAGGGCAAGAGTGGAGCTGAGAGGGGAAGGGCACTGTGCGGTTCTGAAGCAGCCAGAGTGTCTGTGCCGCCAGCACCCAGCCCTCTGCACAGCAGCTCCTGAAGACAGGGAGTCCACAGTGGGGAAGGTTCTTACCTGAGGTCCCAGGAGCCTCCTGCAGAGTGTACAACTGTCTGTGGTCGCTCACCCGGGATGACAGCAGAAGCCCAGGCTAGGACTGTGGCCAAGAAGACCAGTGTTGGGTCAGATTTCCTCTCAAACTGACCGGCTTGTTGCCACCCGATGATTTTTAATGAACCACTCTGGTTTTTCCCAGGAGGAAGAAACCTTGGGGACACCACACTTGATTTTCAGAGGAAGTAAATATCCTCAAAAGGGAGAAGTGAAATAGAGATAAATCACAGCCTCACTCCTACGTAGTGACAGAACATCTTTTTTGAAACTGAAAGTAAACTTACCCTATGACCCAGCAGTCCCACTCCTGGGCATATATCCAGAGGAAACTAATTCAGAAAGATACAAGTGCCCTAACGTTCATAGCAGCACCATCTACAATAGCCAAGACATGGAAGCAACCCTAAATGTCCATCGACAGGTGACTGGATAAAGAAGTTGTGGTGTATTTATACAGTGGAATACTACTAAGCCATAAAAGAATAAAATGATGCCATTTGCAGTGACAAGGATGGACCTGGAGATTATCATACTAAGTGAAGTAAGCCAGAAAGAGAAAGAAAAATACCGTATGATATCAGGAATCTGAAAAAAAATTGGCACAAATGAACTTACTTACAAAACAGAGACAGATTCACAGACATAGAAAACAAACTTACTTATTGTTACCAAGGCAGAAAGGGGTGCAGAGGGATAAGTTGAGAGTTTGGAATTTGTAGATATTATATGTAAAATAGATAAAACAACAAGATCCTACTGTATAGCACAGGGAACTGTACTGAGTATCTTATAATGGCCCATCATGAAAAAGAATATGAAAAGAAAAAATATATTTATGTAAGTGAATTATTATGCTGTACACCAGAAATTAATACATTATAAATCGACTAAACTTCAATTAAAAAAAACCATCTTTTTTGCAAAGCACGCTATACAGAGGAGTTAAGATACAGTCCTTGCCCTTGAGGCAAAAGACAAATGAGGAGGATTAGCTGCCATGAGCAACTACAGCACTGCTCAACGGTGGACACTTTCAGCTTTCCTAAGCAATAACTCGTTTTCCCCTCATCACTGTCTTGAGAGGTAAGTAGGGGTCTACCACTGGGCCTATCGCTGGGTGCTGACTCATGCCGCTATCTCCCCCTGCTAGGATGCCCTTCCCTTATTCCTACGTGTTGAAATCATCCTCCAGAAAACCTCCAAAGAACAGTAACTTAAACAGGGTAGGATTTGATTTCTCTCTCACACAGTAGAAGATGAAGGTGCTGAGTCCAGGCTGCTGTGGAACTCCACAGTGCCAGTGACCCAGCCTCTTTCTCTATTATGGCTTTGTCTTCCTCAGGATATAGCTTCTGCCTCATAACCCAAAATGGCTGCCTAGCTTCATCTTGACTGCAACCTCATGAGAGATCCTGATTCAGACTCAAACAGTTAAGCTGCTTCTGAATTCCTGACCCATGGAAACTATATATGATTTAAAAAAAAAGTTTATTGTTGTTTAAAGCTGTTAAATCTGGGGGTAATTTGTTATACATCAATGGATAACAAATATACCATACACACAGGTTTAGTCCATTTATTTAGCTGTCCTGAGCCCCCAGTCTGGACACACATGAATGAATCAGACATGGTTATTAAAGACTACCTATCAAAACATGAGGAGTTCCTGGGGGTGGAGCAGAAATCACATCATATTTGTCCTTGCCCTTGGAGCCCTTTCCCCACCTTGACACATAGTAGGGTTGCAGTACATGGCACACAGTAGGAGCTCTGCTTCCCAGAGAATAGCTTCCACCTCCTGGCTTGCCTTCTGGTAGATGAGCCAATTTAGAGATGATGAGCTGTTAATGCTCAATCATCTGGCTTCTCCTCAAACATGTGGATTTGTTTCTCCAAGGTCACTGTTTCAAAGCCTCTTTCCATTCCCTCACTCCACGGGCTGCCAAGAGGAAGGACATGCAAATCAGGCAAACGAGAGCTGTTCCTGAGCCAGCTGCCTCCCCCAGCCTGAGCCTGAGTCCTTCAAGGCCCACCAAGGACTGCCTCCTCCTTTAGTCCTTCCTGGTCCTCTTTTACTGAGGGGGAGGGAACGAAAATGATCTTCTTGAAAAATGACTCTTTCATGCCAAACTTTTGTGAACCATATTGTCAGAGCAACTTGAATTATACATATAACTCATGGCCTAGTTTTCTTAAATGATAAAATATGCAGTACTCTACTATAAATTCCAACTGATTCTCACAGAATGCTTTCACTGCTTTTTGTCAAACTCTTGTGTCTGTAACCAACCTATGGTTGCAACAGATGAATGACAAGAATATTGTAAATAACACAATTTTGTTTACACTCGTGGGTACAACCAAAGCAAAACCATAAAGATGTAAGTCAGAATTTCACTCATTCGTTGATGACATGAGTAACTTCTCTACAGAATCAGATAGTAATTTTTTGAAAACTGGAAGAATATTTGCTTAATTTTTTGTACTCTTCATAACATAACAACTAAAGATATGGCACATTTTTAGAATTACTTTTTTGAAGTATAATTGACACACAATAATTGTACGTGTTTAATGGGTGTATTTGATACCTCGATGTATGTAAATACGCATTAAGCCATCACCACAATCAAGATAATGAATATATCAATCAACCCCAAATGTTCACTCACTGGCCTTGTTTTCCTGGTCATTTCTATGCAGATGTCATTGACACTGCTGGTTATCTACCCAACATCCATTCTTTTCTTCCTTGCCAACAGAACCTTAATTCTGATCAGGTTTCAGCCTCTCTCCAGCATGATCTGGGGGAAGGTCACCTCCAAGCCCAGGACCAAGTGTGGACCTGAATTAACCTAGGCCAATTGGTATGTGATATTCTCCTGTAACTGGACCGGACATGTGACCTAAGTTGGCCAATCACACTACAAGGACTTCTGTTGCATGCTTAGGAGAAAGATTTTTCCCCCTCCCTTGCAGGATGCCCTTGCAAGGCATGATCTCAGTTGCCATTGGAAGCTGTCTTAGAACCATAGGAGAACCAGTTTAAGGTTGAAGTCAATGCTGAAAAGGTCCAAGCAGAAAGAGGGACCAAACCGGAGTGACTGATGGCAATGTTGGGTCCCTTTACTAGGCAGCATCTAACCTGGTGCCCAGTGAGCCCTGCCTCCTAGTTGTCATGCCTTTGCTTGATCCCCTCCCATTGAGTGTAGGGAGTACTTGTGACTTGTTTCTCACAGAATAGGACAATGTTGACGGGATGTCACTTCTGTGATTAGGTTATACAAGGCTGTAACTTCTGTCTTGCTAGCAGACTCTACTGCCTTCTCAGCTTGCACACTTTGATGAAATAAGTGGCCATGTTGGACATTTCCACATGGCAAGACATTGGAGATAGCCTCCAGCCAGCAAGAAACTGAGGCCCTTCAAGAAACTGAATCTGACCAACAACCATGTGAGTTTGGAAGCAGCACCTTCCCTAGCCGACCCTTCAGATGACACCCCAGCCCTGGCCAACAACTTGACTACAGGCTTGTGAGAGCCCTTGAAGCAGAGACAACCATCAAGGACTCCCAATTCAGAGAGATTGTGAGATAATAAATGTGCTGTGTTAAGCCAATAAATTAGGGGTAATTTGTTACAAAGCAATAGATAATTGATGCACTTCCCTATCTCTAGGCTTTGAGTTATATGGGACAATCCATTTCCTTTGTACTCAGTCCTCTTAAGGTCCTGGTTTTCCATCACTTAAACCCAAGAGCATCCTTTTATGGCATGTCTCATCCCACTAGCACAGAAACTCCTCAAGGACAGAACTTCCATGTCCCCCTAGAGCCTCACTGGTGTCATAACTCTGTAAACTGTATGGATCAAGGAATTCTTGGCCCTCATTTTAGCCCATCTTCTGACAGCACAACACAGGGACAATCCAAACAATGACACAAGACTCAGAAATAGATAAGACTTTCTCCTGGGTTACAAGTCATTTTTATTTAGCCAACAAGAGCTTATTAAGTGCCTGCTGTTTGCAGGCCCTCCACTGGATATTGGGGGGTTGGGGCGGAGAGAAAAAAATTTTTTAAAGGGTGTAGTCCCTGCTCCTAGGGAGCCTGCAGTCATGCTAAGGATAGCAGAGGCATGAGAACATTAGAGTGTCTAGAAATATGTAACAAGTGCAGGTTAAGAGGGCACTTCAGTGGGAGCAGACAGGCTTCAGAGACAGATCTTGGAGTCAGATGAACAAATGCAGCTGACTGGGCAGCAGAGAGGTTCCCTGGGAAAGATTTTGGAAGGCTTCAGTTCTGCCACAGCGATGGATGGTGGGTGTGGGGGGTGGCGGGGGGAGCTGGCTGAGGGAAAACAGGACAACAGACAAGGAGCTGTGCAGT